CAACCGCCGCAATGATTGCGAAATTCCCAATCATTTCGAGATCCTCAAATATTCTATGCCCACGCAAGGTGTATTATGGGCTAGCAGATAGCCTGCTTTTCGTAATCCGGGTCGTCGTACTATACACGGCAGATGCAGGAAAACCCAATCATATATATAACAACACAAAACATACATACAACCGAGTGCTGTTACATGTGCGTGCTACTACTATATGTGTTACTACATTCGCCCCAGGAGTCCCGAAGCTACTAAGACAGAGGTCCGTGAGCCGTGAGACAGAAAAGCGCGAGACAGCAGCGCGAGACCGACGTCAAGCCGCATAGCCTTGATCGGGAGCACATGGCAGACAGTGAGGTGACGAGCGAAGACGTTCGGCAAGGCGAACAAAGAAGACACAAAGCCCCAATTTAGACAGCTAGCATTCGAGTAAACTGAGACACAGTAGGAGCACGTTGCCAAGGAAAGCGACCTCCTAGGGACCCGCTAGGAGCCCGAGTACAAGCACGCTAGTGACAGACAAGTCCCAAGACCAAGGCCCAGTGATGCGGTCCCCAGAATACACGAGTGAGACATCCGCAAGATAGAGGGAAGAGGCGACAGGTATCGAAGCCGGGCAGAGTGAGGGGAGAGACATAAGTGGAGAGCGAGAGGAAAGGGCGCGCGAGATGTCCGTTACTAGGAGACTGAGATTGGAGCTCCGCCGATGAACTGTACAGGACGTCCGACCGTTGTACGAAGTGCCGGTATAATTGAGCGCGCGAGTTGTAAGTGGGTGGCTATAGGTTAGTATAGGGTCGCAACATATGCAAGGATTGTGCAGGTTGCAAGACGATTGCAAGACGATCGCGAGCGCTTCGCAACCTTGTTCCAAGCGGATGTAATGATCCGAGCGTTTACCATTCAGGCCGATATTACGAAGAGTATACAACGTGTTGAAATGCCATGTAACCGCGGGAATTCTTATCACTCTAACAACTTCGGCGCCGTTTTTGTGATGCACTGTCGTCGATTAACGTTTTATTTTTGCTCCAGCCGCTCCCCGAATCCGACATCCGCGCATGCAACCATCCATGTAGATACTATATGAAGGTAGCTAGGGCATGTTTTACGATGCCGGTATGTGTTCATTGATGCACAGATCGTGCAGCCAAGTTGCGTATGGTTACTAGTAGCGCCGACGAACGCCGTTGTGGCCAAAGTCATGATATCGATGAGCGCCTCTCAACAACCAGCTGTTGACTCCGGACTCCATCTTCAAGTCTGTCCATACGTGCCGCCACGGTTGCTGGAAAGCGGCCGCGCGGCCCTAGCGGTGACATGTTCACAAATGGACCCGGCCACACGACTTTGACCGGCGACGGTGACCCGGAACGTTGACCAGCAGTGAGTAGCTGTGCACCTTCGGGCCGCAGCGCTGAAGTTCGCGCAGCGCATTGTCCACCGCATAGCCAACTCGAGGGTCCACGCGTATGCCAAGGGCAGGAAGGTATATATAACCCGGACGTCGTCCTCTCTTTTCCACCCGCTTCTGCACCTCACAACCAGGACAAGTAAGTTAGTGTACTCTGAGGTGTTACCGGAACATCACTGACTAGTAGGTTCTTCGCAGGCTCGACGATGGACACTTCGACTTGTGCGGCCCATAGCTGCCTTCGCATAAGCGATATTACCCAGGTCATCGTCGACTCGCTCTGCCGGTCCGGAAGCAAGAAAACTTTGGCATCGCTCGCTCAGACGTGCAAGACGATGCAGGAGGAGTGCATGCCCGCGCTCTGGGCGTATCAAGAGAGCCTCAAACCGCTCTTGCGGCTACTTCCTTCTGATGCATTTGCAGCACCCCCAGAGGAGATCGCCAAGTTCCCGTTTGTACGTTTTTCGGGTCAGAGACATTCGCTCACTTATTGACGGATTAGTTGCATACACAGGTAATCACTCATCCTGAACACCTCGACTGGACAAGGTTCGACCACTACGCCCAGTACGTGCGGCACTTCGTTTGGAAATACGACGACCCCGAGAAGTCGCATCCGAAGTGGAAGACGCCTCCGCCTCCCGCCCTCTTGCGTTGGCTGTTTCCTCCGCCTCTCTGCATCTCACCCCAGGCCCTGTCTGCGCTCGCTACGCACCGCTCCGATGGCCAGCCACTTATGCCGCAACTCCACACGCTCGTCTGGGAAGAACAGGATCCCAAAGTGGTCTTCCACCCCCACCTCTTCCTCCCGCCAACCATCCTGCGCCTGCAGCTCACCTCAGAAGTCTCGAACCCATCTATGGTTGTGCCGCTCCTCAAGAAGGTGGGCGTAGCGTGCAGGCATATCACCCATCTTCGGATGCACGTGTATCACGACAAGGTACCGTGGACGAGCGCACACTACGACGCCTTTGCGCAAATCCTGCGCGGCATGCTGGAGCTGGAAGCGCTAGATGGCTACTCGCAGCTGTCGGTGAGCTGCGTAGAGGCGTTGGCTGCGCTCCCCAAGCTCGCGGCGCTGGAACTGCACCAGGAGCAAATGCACGCATTGGCCACGTCCGCGGTTACCGGCGCGCGCGCTGGGCAGTGGTTCAATGCGCTCGGCTGCTTGCGGCTCAGCACGGAGCAGATGGACAAGAGCACAATGGCGTTCGTAACCGCCATCCAGAGCCAACTCCTGCGGGAGCTGCAGCTCCGGATCGTCACCGAGCCCGGAACCCACGCGCTCAAGCAGCGCTTTGAGACCCTCGCGCGCTCTCCGCACCGCAAGTCCTTGAACATTTTCCGCTTCACTTACGCGTTTTCATTCAAGGTGGACGGCACCAAAGTCCCGCTAGACCTTGAGAATACTCTCCAGCCGTTCTATGCTTTCCCTCATATGCGCCTCTTCGCCATCCGAGCTCACTCAACTTTGGTGAACGCGCGCCAAGCGCTCCACGATATAGCAAACGCGTGGCCGGAGCTCGAGGGCCTCGTTCTGTCTTGCTACCAGAAGGATCCAATCGAGGCTGTAGCAGGATGCGCCAGCCTCGAGGATCTGGTGCAACTCGTGCGCCGCTGCCCGCGTCTCCGTGAGCTAGAGATGCACCTGAATGCGGAGGCGGTCCCAGACGCGGCGACACTTGCGCGCCTGTTGCCTGAGTCGTCGCAGAGTGTGCTAAAAAGCCTCGTCTTGTACAACGCGCCGATCGGGGACGTGGACCAAGTTGCGGATTTCCTGGCCCGTGCATCTCCGGCGTTGCGCCAGATATACTATATGGGTGCAGCAGAGGGGATGACATACCGAAACGGCCAAGACCCCTCGACTCCTCTGGCGAAGTGGCATCAAGTCAAGTGTCTTCTCCAAGAGAAGGCGAAGGCGAAGTCGGAGAGCGCTGCGCCCGACAGCTCTAGTCCTGGACGATCTTCTGCTGTTTCACTTTCACAAACACCTTACTTTCACGAACTATCCTGGTGCTAGAAACATTCGCCACCGTTCAGCTGCACTTTTCGTGGCACTACTGATGTTTGCTTACTATAGTGCTTTCTTTCTCGCGCGCCCTGATGTCCGTACAAATAAGAATCGATGACTCATCGTATGTGGTTCTTTTGCATTGCGGAAGGGCGATCTTCGGGCCTTAACGCGGTGTAGTGCCACAAGATTTCATGGCCCACCCTTGCGATCCACACCTAATCCAGAGATGAACATCGTATATTGTGAGCGAACAGGCTGTACGGTCTGTGACGTGCAAACTGGCATTGCGTGGGATGATGGATGACGGACGGGCAGTTGAAATCAATCCTATTATCTGGAATCCGGATCCTGATAGTCCATACATTGAGCAACCTCCAGACTTCGTACCACTCATACATAGTGCGCGGAACCCTTCACGCGTCAGACTCAGTGTCGCCGAACATGATCTTGAGGTTCTCGATGCTCTCGGGGTCGGAGTCGCGCTTGCCCTTGAAAGCCTCCTTGACGATCGCAGTTTTGCGCTTCTGGATCTGCAGGATGCGACCCTCGATCGTTCCAGCAATCTAACACGGGGATGAGCTTGTTAGGTAGAGACTTCGCAGAAGGACGGGCGCAAGCTTACGATGAATTGCTTGACATAGACTGGCTTCTCTTGGCCGATACGATGGACACGGTCGATGGCTAGCCACGTCGTTAGTGGGTATAGGTATCGTGGATGGTGACAGGCTTACCTTGGTTTTCCGTTGCGGCGTTCCACCAGCAGTCCATCTAGGTCCACATGAGAGGCAAGACCCGACACAGGAGCGTGATCATACTCACCATGTACACATGGTTTGCGTTCGTCAGCTACCGTGCAGAGAGTCAGCGCCAAGAGGGCATGATACATCCGACAGACGACTCACGTTCAGTCCTACTCCGCCGGCCTTCAAACTGACAATGAGGACCTTCGCTTCACGAGAGGATTCCTTGAATCCGGAGACGGCCCCGTTGCGCTTCTTGATGTCCATTGAGCCATCGAATCGATACCACGCCAATTCCTCCCGTTCTAGCACGATCTGAATCAGGTCTAAGAACGAGGTGAACTGAGAGAACACGACTGCTCGGAAGCAGGGGTCCTGATCTCGCAGTCGGCCTAGCAAGAGATGAGCGCTCCTACATGGTCAGGAAGCAGGAGAGGCATGTACGTAGGTCCTGGACAAGGGCCTCGAGCTTCGTCGAGGAACGGAAGTCGTTCCTTCGCAGCGTCACGGTTTGCGTCGGCGCCTGCGTGGGGTCCCCAGCCTTGTCGCCGCTGTCGTTGCGCGAGCGCACAATTTCCAAGAGGTCGCTCTCCTACAGAAACATTGAGCGATTGTGAAGCACCGACCAGGGTAAGAAGACGGACCTGAACAGGCCCTCGGAAACACGTTGGACACTTCCCGTCTTCACCCTTCTCACGACAGCGCTCGATGAAGGCAACGATGCAGTCTTTGCAGCTGTGCGCAAGCGACGTCAGCGTCGTACGGACCACATTTGACAGGGGGCTCCTACCACTGGTGCATGCAGTCGGGCAGAATGGTGGGAGTCTCCATCACGTCGAAGCAGATCGGACATTCCGCGTTCTCTTCTTGTCCGAGATTTGCAAGGACGCCCTCAGCGTACACCTTGCTATCCCCGGCCGCGTTGTCGCCTTTGTCAAATCGCTTGATCAACTCGTTGACGTCGATAGCGCCGCTCCCTGCAGGCGCCTTTGGGGCGGGGCCATCGCTGGAGGACAGCACCAGGTTCGGATGTAGGACAGCACGTCGCAATCTGACGATTTGGCGTCAGTATCACGCCGAAAATCATGAACCATTAACACCGACCGCATGAGCATGGCCAAAATGTGGGTATAGTTGCGGCTGACGAGGCCCTTCGCGTTGAGGTTCTCAAAGTCCTTTTTCGCGTCGGTGTACAACGAGTCGTAGATTTTGCGCTCCAGCGGCGAGAACTCCAGCATCGTGGTCGTGATCTGACCCTTCTTGTAAGCAGCGTGTATCTACATGATCGGCTGCAACGCACCTCTTTGGATGGAAGCTCGACGATCTTCTTGCCATCCGAATCGAGCATATCCTTCTCTCGACGGAGAAGCACGCTCTCTAGGATGATCTGGACGACCTCAACGGCCTTACGATCACGAGCCAGGAAAGGTAAGGTGATGAACCTGTACGGCAGTAAGCATCACCATAGTTCCTAGGGGACGAGACTTACGAGCGGAAGAAGGTATGGTTCGACCAGGGCGTGAAATCCAAGAATTTCCTAGAATCGGGCGCATATATCAGTCTCTATAGGTACGAAGATACAGTCCAGACTTTACGCACAAGAGTGAATATAGATCCTCCAGGCGGTTGACGATGGGCGTTCCAGTCACAGCCCATCGGCGTCGCGCGCGAAGGGCATATACCGCCTTTGCGCTCTTGCTGGTCCGCGACTTGATATGATGAGCTTCGTCAAGTATGACACCTGCAATGCAAGGTTATGGACATGAAGGGCTACCACATGCAAGCCACTCACGTAGCCATTCCACTGGATGCATCCGGACTGTTAGTCCCAGGCGTATCTGATGTATGACGAGACGATTGACACACCTTCGAACACGGGGGATGGCTGCTTCTCATGCTTGGCGTGCTCCGACACAAGAATGCCGTACGACGTGACGACGATGTTCGTGGCCCCATCCGTATCGACCGCAGCGTCCAAGTCAAGCCTGTTCTGTCCATGCCACACGAGCACTCGTAGGGTATCCGGCTTGCTGGAACGCTGAAGCTCTTCAGCCCACTGAGACAGGAGCGAAGTCGGTGCGACGATGAGGGTCGCGGATGGCCCTTTCCGTGGCTGCGGGGGCTGGTTCGGCGCGACACGAAAGGCGTTGTTGAGTTTGATTTGCCGTCGTTTGGAGGATGCGTTGGGATCGACGTCTGCGGGGGCCTCGGGTCCTCGGGCGGTCTGTATAAGGGCGGACAGCATGATGGTCTTACCCATGCCCACTGCGAAACTCGGTCAGACCACGCAACTGACATTGACGTCCTGCTTACTTTCTGTAACACCGAGGAGAGAGTCAACCAGGATGATGATCAGCTGGGAACATCTGGAACATTGAGTACAAATTTACCGTCACTGAATGGACGTCAGCACTTCAGAGGGAGTGATTGAGTTGCGCATTACTCACGCTAGAATCCCGCCCTTGCATTTGCGCTCTGCCTTAGGGAACTCCAAGCTCAGCTCTCCTGAGTATTCATTGAAATAGAAGGGCCGTTCGTCTGCAGTGAGGTCTATGGTGTCGTCATTGGGATCGAAAGGGAACAGGTATCTACCGCACGCGTCAGATTACGGACGATCGAACAGCAAAGGCTTGACTCACTCCTTCCACAGCGGATGCATAGACTTGGCTTCTCGCGCAGACGCAGCTCCGGTTTCGATGGAATGCATCCAGCTATCAAGAGTTTAAGTCAGACACAAGCAGTCGGGCGGCTGAGGCCCTGACGCACAATAATGCTTGCTTCTGGTATCCCCGCAGCTTCAAAGTGAAGGTATCAGCTGGATCCATCTCAGCGAGTGCACGGTCGTTCTGCTGAGCCCTATGGGGATTTTCTCATCAGCAGCAGGATATGTATTCTCAGCGTTTGCACATACTTCTTGTAGATCATGTCAAGCTGCTCTTCGGTGATGTCGCCTTCTTCGTCCTCATCTTCCCCGTCGCCAGCCTGGGTTGCAGGCCGCGGCTTCGCACCAGGGCGTTGCGTGAGCAGTTCCAAATCTGCCTTATCGAGCTTCTTCTTGTGAGAGAAGTCGTTGCTTTTCCGCGGCTTGAGGTTGATGCGCTTAAACAAGCTGACCAGAGACGTCTTGCGTTCTCTGAGGATCTGCTCGGCTTCGGTCTCCTGACCTTCATTAAACATTACCTTTGCCTTGTCGTCTGAGGATACAGAGGACGGCGGCTGAAAGGCGGACGCTTTGATATAGATGGAGACCGATACTATGAGGTCCACGCCCGTCGTCATTTTCTCGGGACAGTCGACCATCGTACACTTCTTGAACTCGACGATGCCTACATCGTAGCATAAGCACTATTCAATATGACAATGCCTACGCGTGTACCCACCCAAGTCCAACAGTCTCGATACCCAGGAAGCAACGTCCTGAGGCAATCTGCCAAACTCTGAAGAGGTGGTCAGATCTGGGAAAGCAGAAAGGTATGTTACCGCTTACCGAAACCTCTGGTATTCGTCAGGATAACAACAGAGTCCTGCTTCTTCTTCGTCACTTTAGGTGGAGCAGGCTTAAACATGCTTGCAATGGTGATCTGCTTCTTGCCGCCTTTCCCCTTGGCGGCTTTCTTAGCCGGAGGCGGCGGTACAGGCTTGTTGATTTCTTCCCTCTCTATCCGGACCTCCTCACCAGGCTTAATGTACCCAGAGCCTTTGACTGTACTCCAAGCCTTGTCGACCAAGAAGGAGCCCAGATACATAGACTCGGCAGGCGCGGCACGAGAATGAGATGGACCTGGCACTGGGGACATCTTCCTACGCTTCTGGGGGCGTTCCTCGTCGCTTGGAGCAAGCGCTTGTGGAAGCGGCGAGGAGTCGCGCATTTCGTTGGGCCCGGAGGACGTACTGGACTCGCTTGATGCGCGGGGCACGTCTACAAACTCGGGCATCTCCACGTCAAGGTCAAGTTCGGACTCATCCGTTGTCTCTGGTGCTATAGACATCTTCGGCGCGTTGTAACGCGAGGACGACTCGTCGTCATCGCTGTCGGCGAAGAAGAGCGGTTTCTGTGTCGGTGAACGCGTCTGGGTCGCGTCTGGCGATGACTCAGCGGGTTGGGGGACAGGGTCTTCTGCGGGGACGGGTGCATCTGCCATCTCTTCGTCGTCTGAGCCAGCGAAGAAGGCCGGTGGTGTATTTTCGAGGGCCATTTCGAGGACCGGGGGGAGAAAGGTGGAGGAGAAAGGGGAGGAGGTGATCGGGCACGACGCGTCGAGGTCGCGCTAATTTGCAGCCACCGACGCGGCACCGACGCGTCGACATGCACAAATAGCCGTACATAGCGCCCGTCCACGTAAGTCAAGTCGTTCCCACGCTTGCGCGGGCGCGTGCAGTGGAAATCAATCGAAAGCGCCCTCTCTGCTTTGCCTGCTGCTCGTGAAGTCCTTGCTTCCTGCCCCTTCCTCTCTTTCTACCGCGTCTTCATCTCTCAAAATGCAGCGCGGACTTCCGATGGTATGTGTGGTATCTGCTACGGCGTAAACGCGTCGACTAACCGTCTACAGCAACCCACCGTGGTCCTCCTGAAGGAGGGCACGGACACTTCGCAAGGGAAGCCTCAGCTGCTCTCCAACATCTCGGCATGTCTTGCGATCGCAGAGACCCTTGCTAGCACGCTAGGTCCCCGTGGAATGGACAAGCTCATCGTAAACGAGCGTGGCGAGGCTCAGATCACAAACGATGGCGCGACTATCCTCAAGCTTTTGGACATCGTACACCCCGCCGCGCGTACGCTCGTGGACATCGCCCGCGCCCAGGACGCCGAAGTCGGAGATGGCACCACCAGTGTTGTGCTCCTCGCGGCACAGCTGCTGAAGGAGATCCGGGGTTACATCGAGGAGGGCGTCAGCCCGCACATCATCATGAAGGGCTTCAGGAAAGCTGCAGAACTCGTGAGTAACTTCTACGATCCATCTTCTACAACTCCTGACCTCTATTTAGGCTATAGAACACATCAAGTCTGTCCAAATTACAGTAGACCGGTCAGACCCCGAGTACGTCGCGTCTTGTCTGTCCGTATATGCGTAACGCGACTAACTTGAGTGGCAGACAATTCCGCTCCCTCCTCCTCAAGTGCGCGTCAACTTCGATGTCCTCGAAGTTGATCCACTCAGAAAAGCCTTTCTTCTCCAAGATGGTGGTCGATGCTGTCCAATGCTTAGACCAGGAGGATCTGAACGAGAAGCTCATTGGTGTGAAGAAGATCCCGGGTGGCGGCATGCAAGACTCCGTTCTGGTCCAGGGTGTCGCGTTCAAGAAGACCTTCACCTACGCCGGCGCGGAGCAGCAGCCGAAGTCTTTCACCAACCCCCTCATCGTCAGCTTGAACGTCGAGCTCGAACTGAAGGCAGAAAAGGACAACGCTGAGGTCCGTGTCGAGCACGTTGCGGACTACCAGGCCATCGTCGACGCGGAATGGGAGATCATATACCGTAAGCTCGAGGCCATCGAGAAGACCGGTGCAAAGGTCGTGCTGAGCAAGCTGCCGATCGGTGATCTTGCCACGCAGTGGTTCGCGGACCGCGACATCTTCTGTGCGGGTCGTGTCGCTGCGGACGACCTCCAACGCGTCGTCCAGGCCGTCGGTGGCTCTATCCAGTCGACGTGCTCAGACATCAAGCGCGAGTACCTCGGTACCTGCGGGTCGTTCGAGGAGAGGCAGATCGGTGGGGAGCGGTACAACCTGTTCAAGGAGTGCCCGAAGGCAAAGACGTGCACACTCATCCTTCGTGGCGGCGCCGAGCAGTTCATTGAGGAAGTCGAGCGGAGTCTGCACGACGCCATCATGGTGGTGAAGCGTGCCGTGAAAAACGGAGACATCGTCGCGGGCGGAGGCGCAATCGAGGTACATTATTTCCGATCTTCCCCTGGGATCTTGGCTCACCCCTGTGCCAAATAGCTGGACCTGTCTTCGCGCATCCGGAAGCACGCCTTGTCGATTCCGGGGAAACTTCAGCTGGTGATGATCGCGTTCGCGAAGGCGCTCGAAGTCATCCCCCGGCAAATTTGCGACAATGCGGGTCTGGACTCCACCGACGTCCTGAACAAGCTGCGCATGAAGCACGCCAACGGCGAGCAGTGGTTCGGCGTGGACGTGGACGGCGTGGAGGGCATCCGGAACAACCTGGAGGCGTTCGTCTGGGAGCCGAGTTTGGTGAAGGTTAACGCGATCAGCAGCGCGACGGAGGCCGCCTGCCTGATCCTGAGCGTCGACGAAACCGTCCGCTCGCCGCAAAACGAAGGGGTGAGTGCGCTGCCCGCGTTTTCCGGGAGCAACGCTAATGCGCGAGATTAAATTTAGCAAAACCCGGGGCCCAGGGCGCCGCCAGGCACGGCGCAGCGAGCACTCCGAGGGAGGGGACGCGGGATGCCAAGGCGGTGAGGGCAGAGAAAGTAGCAATTGCGAAAGTGTAGCGTATCGATATCATCCCCGGTTTAGTGCGAACTTACCGTTCACCCACCTATCGCCCAAGTTGCCGTAAGGAGCGCCCGTGACGGTCACGCTGTGGCGCGCAGGCGGGGACGCGCCGCAGCGGCAGGACGGCGTGACCAGGTTCGTACTTCTTGCTCCCGCGGGACGCGAATGTCGCCATTCCGTGATTGAACGCGCAATGGTCGAACCGTCTGCCCGATGGCCAATACACCCACCCAATGTCGCCGTGCTGATATCATCCAGGAACTCTCTACCGCTTCGGCAATGCTGACGCTGCTATAAAACCTCCTAGGCGAGAGAAGCATGGCCCAGCGTCCCACAGGCCCGCTCCTCGACCCGCGACAATGTCCACAGTACTCGCCAAGCCGTACTACTCCAAGGCCGTCTCCGAGGGCTCCGACACCGCCTCGACCAAGAGCGCCTTCAGCCCGACCGACAGCACCGTCGAGGTCCCGACGCTCGGCGCGCCCGTCTCCGAGCAAAAGGCCTCCTTCTGGCGCCAGCCCAAGCACAACCTCGACGCCATCGCGACCCAGCCTTCCGTCTTCGATGACCCTACGACGCTCGAGCAGTACCGTCCGCCCCCGCAATGGGAGAATACCCACCGTTTCGATCCGGCGGCGCGCTGGACTTGGCGGGAAGAATACGTGAGTTCGGTCGCTCTTTTGGGTGATCTGCACACGGCTCATAATATCCCGCAGCGCATCGTGCGGAGGATAGACTGGCTCATCATGCTCTGGGCTTGCGTCATGTTCTTCAGTTTGGACCTTGACCGGTCGAACATCTCGCAGGCGAACACCGATAACTTCCTGAAGGACCTCGGTTTGACGACCAACGACTTCAACCTCGGGAACACGCTTTTTAAGGTTCGCGAATCACCGAGCCGCCTAGGATCCCTCGCTCATTTCGTTTTAGTTGTGCTTCTTGATCGCGGAGCTGCCTTCGCAGCTCATCTCGAAGCGCGTGGGCCCCGATGTCTGGATTCCTAGTCAGGTCAGTAACCCGATATGAGCTGCGCGCGCACACGCTGACGCGCGGAGTAGATGGTGTTGTGGAGCTTCGTCTCTCTTGGCCAGTTCTGGCTCACCGGAAGGGGTTCCTTCCTGGCTACCAGGTGTGTGCTATGGTTGTTGACGTCATTGCCAAAGTTCTTACACCCTGGCCGTGTAGGTGTTTGCTCGGCTTCATGCAAGGAGGCTTCATTCCGGACGTCATCTTGTACCTGTCGTACTTCTACACCAAGAAAGAGCGTGAGTTCGCTTCTTCCCGTGGCTCTGACATAAATTCCAACTCAAACGCTGTCCTTTTAGTTCCGGTCCGCCTTGCTTGGTTCTGGGTGTCCAACTATATGGCCGAGATTGTGGGCGCGTTCATCGCCACGGGCCTTCTCAAGCTCCGAGGTGTCAACGGGAAGGCCGGATGGCGGTACCTCTTCCTGATCGAGGGTGGACTCACTCTCGGCATCGGGATTGCGTCCTTCTTCATGATGCCGCCCAGCCCTACCCAGACGAAGGCCTGGTTCCGTCCTAAGGGCTGGTTCACGGAGCGGTACGTGACGTTCTATTCTCTAGTCGTTGCGCGTGCTGACGATATCGACGCAGCGAGGAGACCATCATGGTCAACCGCGTATTGCGCGACGACCCCTCCAAGTCGAACATGCACAACCGGGAGGGTCTCTCCCTCCGGATGATCTGGAACATCCTGAAGGATTGGCGCATGTGGCCCATTTACGCGATGGGTATCATCTTCATGGGTATGCCGCAGTCTCCTTACATCTGTACCGCCGACGCTCATGTCTTGTTGCAGTTCCTGTCACCCCTCCGCAAACCTACCTCACGCTGTCGCTACGGAATCTTGGCTACACCACCACGCAGTCCAATCTGCTCAGCATCCCCTCCAAATTCCTCGGCATGATCCTCTTGCTCGTGTGGTGCTACTTCAGCGAAATCATCGACAGCCGCATCATCACCCTCGCCTCCGTACAGCTATACGCGCTACCACTCCTCATCGCCCTGTATACCTTCACCTCGCAAACATCTCCATGGGTGTACTTCGCCGTCGTCACCCTCATCGCCGGCTTCCCCTACGTGCATCCAGTACAGGTAGCATGGGCGTCGACCAATTCTGCCGGCGTCGGCACACGAACCGTGTCCGCGTCTATATACAACATGTTCGTCCAAGCGGGCGGAATCGTTTCGGTGAGTCGATGCGGCGACCGTAAGCGCGCTGTTCACCACTAACGCGTCACGACTCTCAGGCGAACGTCTATCGTGACGATGACAAGGTGAGCTCGAGCTTCTGTACGGCACGGACCTGATTGCTGACATGCCGTTCAATGCAGCCTCTTTGTAAGTCGCCTCGCCTTGCGCCACCGTTCCCATCGCTTCTCGTGCTGACCCCTTTCTGCAGACAAGCGTGGAAACCGCGCACTCATCGCCATTTGCGTACTGAACATGGTTCTCTACCTGGGCATCTACTTCTTCTACAAGGGAATCAACGCGCGGAGGGACAGGATATGGAACTCCTGGACGGCGAAGGTGAGTTCGAAATTAGTCTGACGTCGTCGACCACGCGCACGATCTAAATTTGCGACTTTCTCAGGAGCAACACGAGTATCTAGAGACCACAAAGGATAAGGTACGCTGCTTCTTCATTCGTCGAACATCATCGAGATAACTAACCATGACTTTCCCAGGGGAACGCGCGCATGAACTTCCGGTTCGCATACTGATCGAGCGCGATTATGATATCCATAGCATTGTAGACTGCAGTTTAACGACGATTAACACGATAACACTTTCGAGTAACTTGTGTAACACTATTAGACGACTAATCCAGGACGGCTCCCCCTACTTGCTGCCTCGCGTGACCGGCCGTAGACGACGTCTGTGAGATACTCGCCGCAAACGATCACACGCTGGCCAAGCATCTGACCAAGGGTGTCGTAAGATAGAGAGGGGCGCATGGAGAGATGGTAGGATAGATGACGGCGGGCGTGGGATAGGTTGTGTTGTGGCGTCGCAGCGCACGTCACTCCGCGTTGGCGTCAGCGCGGGGCGGCGTCTGAGCATTGCCAGCGGCCGCCGACGGGCATGCGTCGACAGTCGTCGAGCGCACGCGCACGATCTTGGAGAAGTCGAGGTCGCCCGGGCCCGGCGTCTTCGCGTCGACGCTCAGCGCGCGCTCGCGCAGGATGCCCCACTTTACCCACCAGTCGTCCGCCTGGTCCTCGCAGTCGTACCCGAAGATGACGGACATCTCCTCCCACTGCTTCGTCGCGTTCGAGTCGTCGCCCGCGAGCACGTTCTTCCCCTCGGCCGCCTTGGCCTTCATCGCCGCGTTGCGCACCTCCGCGGCGTCGCCCCCCAGGATCATCATGTACAGCACGCTGTACTCCTGCGCGCGGACGTGGTTGACGCGGGCCTGCCGGACGTCCTGGAAGGCGTACAGGAAGTTCACGATCTGTCGTTTCTCCTGCAGGTGCGAAAATAGCTTCGCGAGGACTGCGCCGTCCTCTATCGCCATTGCATTCGCTTGTATCGTGCTTGGCTGTGTCACGCCGGGAGCTCGTTTAGTGTCCGCAGCTATCGCCATCTATCAAGCCTGGGACTTACGGGGAACGGGTGTGCGGCTTCGCCGACGAGCACTAAGCGCGGCTCGTGCGATATCCATTCATCAAGGTCTTCGTGCTGTCGTACGGATAGGCGGACGGCAGGCTTCACGGTGGGGAGCACCCAGCGCAGTCTGTGACAAAGAGCTTCGTCAACGTAAGTCGAGAAAGGAGTGCCACACCGGTGCTCACGTTTGATGTTCAGGCTCAGCTAGCGAATTCACGTTCGATACGGCCGGGTCGCCGTAGTGCCCATCGGGACCATCGTCCGGCCCGTACCATTGACATGCGTAGTCCTTTCCACCGTGCTGCAGACATCGGACATCGATAAGTATCTTGGGCGCGCGAGGCGTGAGGACAATGGTGCTCACGATGGGATATGCTACGATCGCGAGCTCATCGCCCATGGAGCTAACTATTCCGTTCTGTGTGAAAATGATGAGCTCCCGGGAGACGTGATCGTGATGGCGAAGACCTCACCTCTTTGGAAAGGTGCGCACCATACTCCTCCAGAACGCTAGTAGGAAACTGAGAACTGAGAAGGAAGGTCGATGTCAGTACAAGGACCAAGTCGCGTGAGTCAACTTAGGAAACGTACTCGTATATCGCTTTCCCGACACGTGTGCCTTTTGCGCGGTCGCCAGCGACGACTTTCCGCGCCAAACCAAACTCTCCGTCTGCACCCACAATTACATCCGCAGACAGAGTTTCGCCGGTAGACAGCGTCACAGCTGGGCTGGTACGGCTGATCTCTGTGACTTCTGCGGCGAAGCGCACTTCGATTCCTGCTGCGATCGCAGCGTCATATAGTACTTCGTATACGGCTGCATGCTATCAACAGTTCATGCGTCAGTACCGTTCCTCCGAGTCGTAGATCGCGTAAGAGGATGGTCGTACCGTGGTGAGCAAGTACAGTCCGCGTGTCTCTTTCATAATGCCCTGGTCCCATACATGGGATCCAAGATATTCGCCAGTCTCATCTGCGGGCATAGTTAGCGCGTGCAAATCGACGTGCGGTGGAGCCGACCTACATCTCGTAAACAGCAACGTGTGGGTGACCAACGACTTCTCCAGAAGTTTGGCCCGCAGACCCCAGTGGAATAGTACCTTCGTGCAGTTTGGAGGCATACGAATGCCAGTGTCCGAAGCCTGCGGAAATCCCGAGCGTCAGAAACATATCGTACGAAAGCATATAATATTACACGCACCACGCTCGTCCTCGTCCCTCGCTCCAGGACCACCGCATGGTGGCCCACTCGTTTGAGAGCTATCGCACATGCTAGACCGGCCAAGCCTAGTAGGTTCGAGTGGTTAATATCGGTACATCGTCAGTGCGCTGAAACCGTCTGGACGGTGCCAGCCTGAGCCCGATCGCTCACCTCCTCCAATAATGATGAAGTTGATCGGGAGGACCGTCTGCAGCGGCGGGTTCGATCTTGAAGACTAGTCCGCATTAGTGAGCACCGCAGCCTGCAAAAGGGAACCCGCCATGCGCTCACTTCGGTGCTCATGCTCGGAATCGGCGGCGGGATGTACAGCAGTGGCAGATGTCAACCTGAAATGGCTGGCTGGCGCACGCAGCAGCACGCCCGGCAATATAAGATCAGCGCGCACGCCCCCGAGGGCCGTCTGGGAACCTGCGCCTATGGGCCTCGAGCCGCGAGCGTCCCGGGGGGCTGCAACAGCATGCGTTCCATTTCATCAGGACGCCCGCAACCGAGCGGGGCTATGCCTATGCGAGAACGCCGAGCCGTGCCGCGTTACGGACTCCCTTGTCTCGTCTCGGTATGTCTGGACCAGGCGGCGCATGGGCGAGGAGTGTGCATCTTTTCTCCGTTCCGCTGGCACCGCTCCGCGTGCTATAGGTTTATTGACCGAGGCCGGAAAGGCAGGTGGGGTCTGCGGGCCCTGTACCGCGGCCTGCCGAGGCGCGTTTTCCTCGCAATATCTGTGATAAACGCCAGCCTTGGCTATGTCGGTCATGATAGGACACCCACGAGTCACAGAACTTACGACACTGGGACTATATCGGGGAGGCCAACGGATGATGGTGGGCGAACCGCGGAGCGGAACGAGGCCTAACGGAGAACGGTGATATTGGCGTTAATTGACCCGTTGCTAAGCTTTGGCCACGTTTTCGGCTGTTCCCTCTCACAGGACGTCGGGTTTGCCGTCGCTACCGTGTCTTTGGATATTGTGCGCCCGTCTTGCGGGGACACAAACATTCCGCGATGGAGTACATGAACTCGTGTTTGATGAAGCGGATGGACCAAAAGGGTGGGCACCATGTTCCAGTTGAAGCAACATGGAATCACCGTGCTGGTGTCTAAGGGGTGGGTCTTAGGTGGGTCTGACAACGAGGCCGAAGAACATCGGAATGCACGCACCCCGCTCGGGGATCACTGAGCATATTCAAACTCATCCTTCTCTAGAAAGCCGCCAAAGGCGCACTTTGAGGAGCATCATACTCTCACTCAGATTCAAAGAAGCACAGAAGCATCCCCCAAATCATGCACCTGGCGCGTGCCGATCGCCATGTATCCTAGGGGAAACGGTGGGTGATTAAATTCCAGATGTGTAAAGTAAAGGTCCGTGAGATGAGGGCTAAGCAGAGGCGCTAGAGGCTTCGCCAGCCTCGCTTTGCTGACCCTGTTCCGTAATATCGGGGGTTCTCCGCCGGCGTTTCATCAGCGAGCGTCGCTTCGCAGCATTGACACGCTTCAGTCGGTCGTCGACGTCCAGGAACTTCACACCGACGTCGACGAAGCGCATAGTGGGGCGACCAGCACGCTCAACGACGTGCTCAGGCGCGGTCTCAGTGCTGATACCGCGAAGCTTCTTGAGCTTCGCAGCATCTCGCCTCGCATCGAGCTTTACGGCGTCCTCGGCGGCGCGCACCAGTGCGGTGGGCACTATGGGTGTCTAGAAATGCACGTCAGATACCAGTTCGATGCATAGGTATTTAGCAAGACGAACCTGTCCTTCCTTTACGGGCTCCCAGAACAACCGTTGGTAACGGTCACGCGCCAACGCCTTGGTACTCTCGGAGAGCGCGTCGGCCTCGACAGCATCTTCACCCAGTTCTTGTGCGCCGGAACGAAGATGTCTCGCCGACGATTCCTTGTCAGTGACGCCAAGAACATACTCCATGCCATGCAGGAAGCCGGTCTGGAGTTGCTTTTTCTGCAAGTGAGAGTCAGCAAATGCTCGTGACATACAATAGTTCAGCATGCTCACCTCCTGTGCAATTGAACAAATGCACACAACCATCCGTCAGCGGCCGTCCTTCATAAGTTCATCCGCGGCAGAACATACCTGCAACGCAAGTGCAGTCAGTAAAGAGGTCAAGAAGACAATAGATGCAACAGAGTCAGAAACAAATATGTAAGGTGTAACCATGTAGGTGTCTTAAAGACTAATCGATTTGGAAATCATCCCATGACGTCGCAACGTCGTGTGCTTGCAAAACGCGTAACTCACCTTTCGCCATTGCTCCTCGAGCCCCTTCAACCGCAGGATCGCGTCCACACGCGCGATGCTCAGTCCGTGCCGCTGCGCTAGGACGCGCACGTTGAACTTCTCCGGGTCGCGCATGTATTCATTCCAGATCGCCCCCCGGACAGTGTCCGAAATGGGAGTCGGCGGCTTGAAAGTCGGGTTCAGGGGGAACGGCTGCACACGGACGCGCCGCCCCGTCAGCAACGCACGCGCACCGCGCGACCAACGCAACGGACTCAACTACTTCGCCCCCGAGCCAGTTGTTAGGCCGGTGGGGTTCCTTGTACTTCACGCCCTCCGTGCGCAGCCAGAGCGCGTAGCTGGGACCCTCTTTGAACGGGTCGGCGCTGTCGGGACCCGCGGCGTAGTGCCGCCGCGGGGCGAGGGCAGAGATCCATGACCGGGTCGGTCGACGCGAAGCCTGGGCGAGATGGGCGAGCATTGCTGGACGTCGTCAGAAATTTTGAACGATTTCGTGCGTGGCGGGCGGCACGTGCGGTTCAGGGCAGGGCCCCGCCTTTGGCGCTTCGGCGTTGGACGCGCTCGCTCGACCTCGTTCGCGCCACCATGCTCCCTGACCCGCTCTTCGACGTCTTACGGGCCTATGCTACGCTGCAGTCTCCCAAAACAATAATGAGGATATCTGTGCCATTTGGAGTGCTTCACGGCTTTTTGCTAAACCACATCCTGCTCAATCCACACCTCCGAGAGTTCCCGCCGTCGAAGCGGTATCAGGTCTCCTTCTGGAAGTGGGCCATAGACTGGCTTGAGCAACTCGCGTCGGACGAGGCAAGGTATATCTTGACACTTGAACTCCTGGTGCCTGACCCTTCCAAAGGATGAAATCGACGAGCGCATCTATACGCACCATATCGACCTTATACAAGAGCTGTCAGCGTATGTGTAGGCTTTTATGCTCAACCGTACTACTAATTCCATGCCTACGATGCTGATTTGAAGACGAAGCTTGGGCGCAGATGCACCCCCTCCCTCATATATGACTTACCTCTGGCCCGCGGGAACTGCTCCCATCCGTCCTGTCTATTCGGGCTACGCCAGTGCAACCCTACTGGAGTCTCAGACAACCATCGAGGGCGGGACTACCGGCCTGAGAACATGGTCTGCAAGCCTGGTTCTTGCCCAGTACCTTTTGTCTAATACAGGTGTGCACTGGAGCAGTACCGCCGTTTCTTTCAAGTGCTAACACGCGTACTCAGAGCTCATCCGAGGGAGGAATACGCTCGAGCTTGGATGCGGAGCTGGTCTTCTCGGGATCGTGGCCGCGTCCGTACAACTTGCGGGCAGTACCGATTGGCCCTCTTTGTGGCTTACCGACGTCAATGAAATTGTCTTGCAACGCTGCGAGCACAATTTAAAGCTGCAATGCAGTAAGTGTACCTGGTATATCGCCTTCCAGGTGAATGAACACAGAGGTAGATCAGTCGCACGAGCATCCCAACCTGCATATACGCACCCTCGACTGGTCCGACGCGGCTGATACAAAACGGTGTTCGTCGGTGCATGCTGTATTCGATGAAGCACAGCCGGAGATCATTTTGGGCGCAGACGTGGTAGGTGACCGCCTCTCTGGTGGTGTGCTTGGCATTGACTTTGCATAGGGCTACGATCCCTCCATCATACCGCCACTTCTTGATATTCTGGTACTGGCCCTATCTTCTCCTAGCAATGGTTATAAACGAGAGGCCTATATCGCCATCACCCAGCGCAACGAAGACACCCTCGCGGGCTTCATCCGTCAAGCTGGTGAGCCAGTCAGCGCCGTCTGCCCCGGGCGTTTCTGACACACTCGCTGTTTGCTCGCTGTAGAGGAACGCCTCTCAGTAGAAATCGTCGCTTCCATGCTTGCGGCCGACAACATCTTCACAGCCGCCGCGGAGCTTGGCCACGCTGCATCGGCGCACACGGTGAAGATATTTAGGCTACAATCAAAATCTTGACATATGTCCTCGAACCTCCGTGCTGCCAGACACCTGAGACAGCCCAGGATAGCGATTGCCCAGACCCAAACGTGGCTTTCATCTCGTCGGGCTCCCGCGCTTTCGACGGGTCCGAGCTGCAGCTGCACGCTGCGCATACAGACCCTGCCGACTCCACAGCGGCCTCGTCTCCCTTATCATCCCCACCTTGCTAAGTAATCCCCGCCCTCGGTACACGCGGCGACGGCGTGGTCGCTCCATAGCCTTCGCTGGAGCCGTCCGCCGTCGCACTAGATGGTGCAGGATGAAGGGAGTTTGCGTACGACCGGAGATGCAGTCAGACTCAGAGTGCCGATGTCAGGCCAGAACGATATCCATGAAACATGGTATATGTTCAAGCGTTCGTGTTCGCCGCTGTGTATACAGGGTCGGTGGTCGTTTATCGAAAGTATGCTTGATTTGCGCCCGCGAGCAAGTTCCGCGAGCATTCCTAGTAGACTCCCGAGCACTCGCGGAGCGACAGGACGCATGGCAGTAATGCCCGATGGCCCGAGGCCGCCCCGTACGGGTCTGCGCGAGTGACGGCAGCCCGGCGACCTCGAGGTGGGTGGGTGTGGCAGTGGAGGAGCGTGTTGAGCGGGACGCGACGGGGCGCGTTCCAGCCCTTTCCGGGCGCACGTGGGCCGACGCGTTTGTGGCTGAACTCGGCAGGCTCAGCTCAGCAGTGCCCGTACGCTCTCCCGCTTTCCTCGACACACGCCGCAATATATATACCTGCTTCCTCGTCGTTCGTCGACCCACAACATCTGCTACCTATACTGCATCGCTGCTGCTTGCACATGCCCGACGTCTTCGTCAAGTCCTTCTCGCACCTGAAGGATCGCCCGCATGCAGACAAAGCACTTCCCCTCCTCCAGAGGATCGCATCCCTCGTCAAGCCCATCATGCGCAAGCATAGCTGGGTCTTGCCTGTTCTCTCGGAGTTCTTCCCTGCGGATGACAATCTGCTCGGTGAGTAACCATGCAGTTGAGCGGGGAGCCGCGTACTGACAGGGGTACCACTGCAGGTCTAAGTGAGTGTGTTCGCCCCCCCCCCCTTGTGCCGACGTTCAAGCTAACGCCACTGCAGACATAAACCACGGCCAGAAGATATTAGTGCGCCTGCGTCCAGCACACGCACCAGACACGTTCTATGATGAAGAGGATATCCTACATACCATGCTTCACGAAGTCCGTCTTTGTTAACTGTACATGTTTAGACGTTGTGCTGATTCCGCTACTTCAGCTTACGCATAACGTCCACGGCCCACACGACGAGAAGTTTTACAAGTACCTCTCCGGCCTGGAAGAGGAGCTGGAGGCCCTCCGCAAGTCCGGTTACTCTGGGGAGGGCTTCCATTCCGCCGGCACCCGCCTCGGTGCCAACGTCTCGCATGACCTCCCGCCACATATCGCCAAGCAGAAGGCCCTAGAGGCGGCCGAGAAACGGCGGCAGATCAGCGCCATCCTCGGCGGAGGCGGTCGTATTGGAGGTGTGGCTCGTACCAACAAATCGCCTAGAGAGCTCGCTGCAGAGGTGCGTTGTTTGTGCGCACGTTCGTTGCTGTGCGCGGTGTATTCATGTTCTTGGACAGGCTGCGGAACGCAGAGCGCGCGACGAGAAGACATGTGCTTCGGGCGCGGTCGCGCAAGCTGAGGCCGCCAAGGCTGAACAGGAGTCCGTGCAGGACGATGTCATCGACCTGACAGGAGACGACTCGGACTCATCTCCGGAGCCCGAGATCATCATCATCGACGACGAACCCGCCTCAACACGGCCGAGTGTAGGCACGAGTGCGAGCGGGTACTCGTCATCGTCTTCCACCTCCGTCTCCGGAACCTCCTCGGGTAGTCGCACGCCTGCGTCGTGGAGCGGCCTTCGTCCCGGGAGTGCGTTCGAGTCATCATCCTCCTCCCTCTCGACCCTCTCCGGCCACTCTGCGGCGACATCCACCCCCGGAACCCCCGGCACACCCTCCTCGCACCCACCCCTCGTACGACCCACAGTCCGTCGTGTCGAGCGCGGTGCAGGGCCGGGAACACCGACCCTCCCGAAACCGCGCTCCCGCTCGCGCGTCGCGACACACGCGCACACGCTCCTACACTCACCCGCGACGCCCCCTCCAACACGCACAAACTCCATCGCGAACCCGCACCACCACCACCCTCCGCATGCGGACGCGCCCGCAGTGGTGCCCCCACTAGAGAAGGCGTGGGCGTGCCCGCGGTGCACGCTGATCAACGACGCGCTCGCGCTGCAGTGCTCCGCATGTCTGCTGCTGCGCCCCGGGCTCGCCGACGGGGCAACTGCGTTGGACGCGGCGCTCGCAGCGGTGAGCGGTGCGGGGGAGGGCGCGGCTGCGGCGGTACGGGTGGGGAAGGACGCGGTGGATGATAGGGGGACGGGCGCGTGGACGTGCCATGTGTGTGGCGAGGGCGGGATGCCGCATGATTTCTGGACGTGTAGGTACTGCGGGAGCGTGAAGGTGCGCTCTTGAGTGCTACGTCGCCTCTTGTGCACTGTTACAGACCGGGAGCGGTGACTGGGGCTGCTTGTGCCGCGCCGGCCTTTTCTTCTTGATTTGGTGTGTGCCGCCCTGGTTATCGCATGTAGATCATTGCTTGCTGGACCCACATTGTTTGGGACGGACTTAGGATGACCAAGCCCTACTCATATCTCTTGTATTATTCGGACCCTCTGGGTGGTTCTGTGCTTCTATCTGTACGTTGCTGTAGTTGAGTATTGGCGTATCTGGATGTAGACGGTTCGAATACCTGACCTCTGTATACACATGCTATTGTCGCTATTTCATGGTATTGACTGAATATGGCCTTGCGGACATGTTGTTGCATGTGCAGTACAGGAAGACGACGTGGATTTCAATTGCAAGTACTTGTCACGCTTTTTATTTTGAGCGAGGGGCGGCGCTTGCCGAAGCGTTCAGTATCACGCGCGAGCCCGTCCTTCTCCTTTTGCCTCCGTACCACCACACTACCTCAATCCAGCACACCAGACGAATCGTCAATGTCCCTGACAGTCTAACCCACACTGTTGGGTGACCAACGTCCGTATGTACGTTCGCAGCCAACGGCTGCGTAACCCTACCGGCGAGCAGATTTTTCGCCGCTGACTGGGTGTCTCCAGTAGCCACCTTCTTCCGTTCGATCACTCCTGAGCTCGCTGAACACACCATCAACCTCAGTTTTCTGTTTCGATTGACCGTCCTTGAGGATGCAGTCAGACTAAATCCTCACGCGTACGTCTAGTCGGAACCAGCACCTTCCAGATCTACCCAGGTTTATCTCCCCGACGCCCTGCAGCTCACTTTCCTCATTACGCAGCGGCTCTAAATTTCAGGATGTCTGACGCGTTTTCAGAAGGAGTTGCCAGCGGCGTTATAGCGGCGCCACGTCGATACTAACACTTCTGGTAACATAGACCTGTCAGATGGGCTAGCAAGATGTCGATGCGCTAAGTTTCAGGTAGTGGGATTGAGGTATTTGTCCTTGAGCATCTCAAAGACCTCACTGATTAGGTCTGATATTTCCTCTAGTGCCGCATATGCTGTTTGGTCTGGGGCATGTCACTCCGAACTGAGTTATGGCGGCAGGTTCACCTGATAACTTTGGCAGGAGGCCAACTATGTACGACGTGCTTCATCCGAAACCCTATCACGGATATCTACAGCCATTAGTCTTAACGTCACCCCCAAGAGTCAAAGGATGATCCCACCAAGCCTTGCGGGTCCCACCCCTCTATGAAGCGAATCATCCATCTTCGCTTTCTCCCACTTCTCCCCACTCTAGCAACAGCTATCCTCGTCAATCGCACGATAGACGACAAATACGGTGACAGCGTCACTGGCGTTGTCCCCACCTATGCGCCCGACAGCTATTGGACGGACGGATCTCTGTGCTATACCTGCAATGTCTATCCTTCCGGCGGTCCAAAGAACGGAGGAGGGGCGCAGGCCGACGTCTCGCAGATGTTCAATGGGACCTGGCACGACTCCACATACCATGCGGTCGGCCCCATCCAGACCATCACGATGAGCTTTGTCGGACAGGCCGTATATGTCTTCCACCTGATCGCCAACGAGCTCAAGTGGACCACGACGGTGACCAACCTCTCGTTCATCATCGACGGCGAAGAGGTCGGCCACTTTGACCACAACCCGGATCCGGCTGCTCCCCAGTTCTTGTACCGCGTCCCCGTCTACGTCAACTCGAGCCTATCGCATGCCAACCACACTCTTACGATCCGTCCGAGGGGCGCGCCGGATATGTCTCTGATTTTGTTTGACTATGTTGCCTATACTGCCGACGAGCCGGCAAGCCCTGCACCTCTCGACGGTGCCTCCTCCAGCCCTGCCAGCCCATTCATCCCAACCCCCTCGGCATCCATGCAGTTGCCCGGGCCTCTCCCGAGTACGTCCGGGACTCCAGCGCCCAGGCTCAAATCCCACGTAAAGTTCATCGGAGGGCTCGCGGGAGGCTTAGCATTACTCGGCGTGATACTAGCCACGCTCGCGCTGGCTTACCTTCGGAGGAAATGTAGTCCACGGACGCGAGACGCTACGCGGCAGGCCGATACCTCGCTGACGGCTCATGGCGCGGCCGACACCCGGTTCTCTGGAACCAGGAGGGCTTCAACCCTTCCTGGTTTCTCCGATGTGGACTCAACCCTACCTCCGCCTTACCGCAGCCGGAGGACCACATGCGACTCCGCAGACCTGTCGTGCGCTGCGACGTGGCCAGATTCCCGTTTTGCGCGTTCCCTCTCTGACACTCCGAAGGGAGGTCCCTTGTCCTCGACAGAGAGACATGCGGCTCGCGTGCGGCTCTTCGAGAAGCTGACCGCAGCGCCCGGATCGGAGAGGCGCCAAGTAACCACTGGTACGCCGCCCTGTTCTGTTCCCCGTGAGCATGGGGACCTTGTTCGCTGACCGGTGCCATATAGACCGCCAAGTTCCGGACCGCCCGCGCGTTGAACAGGATCGTGGAGACGCGCCGCCCGGGAGCACGTCGAGCCCACCTGTGCGAGGTCTTGTTGCAAATCTCCATGCGGAAGCAGCGTGGCGCCGCATGCTCGATGCCGAGCTGACCATGCATGGCTTCTCAGTCGAGCAGGCACCGCCATACTATCAGGGCGGGCCCGGGGCAGATACCATTCCGTGGTCCTAGATGCGGCAGCGTCTCCAGACTGTGAGTGTTAATCTGCGGCATCAGGACAACCTGCCACCGCTCACGTCATGATCTACCTCGCTGTCAGCCATGTGTGATGCTGTAGTATACTCTACTTGTAGTGTTCATGCAGCATATGTAGCGTTCTAGCAAGAGCGGCTCTTAGTGGAGACGGTATCCCGGCGGTTCCACTCCACCCAGTTCGACTCAAACTCGAACCAGCGGGGAGATTTGTGACAGATTCTTGAGCCCTGTAACGTACGAATTATCCTGGAAAAGAGAGAGGGATATAAATCCGGCTAGTGCAGACAAGGGTTGAAAGGATGTCGTTACTCACTTGGGACCAGGGTCGGGCGCGTCAGTGCATGATGCATGAGGGCAAGGAGGCGACAGGCGCTAAACGTACCGTTGACCGTCTTCCGCTCCTCCATCATCTCTCCCGGGCAAACATATTCATCTGCATGCTCAAAGCTTCCATTAGCCCCATTTATTCGTGGAACATCTCGGTCCACCGGGGGACACACGGTGACGATGAGATGACGATAGCTTGATCACGTCAAAACGTCGTAACTGCGGGGTATCTCATCTAGTACGTCTACCGCGTGCTTGTGATCAAGCTCTCCTGCTGCACTGTAGCTGCCATTTGGCTGCCATTGACGCGTAGTTTCAGCACTTACAAACGGCAGGCGACCAGGAGCACGCATCAGTGTCGAGGTCCGTGTACGAGCAGTGCCACACACGAGGTCAGTATACGAGCAGTGCAAACCACCTATTTTCATATTGAAGCACTGCCATCAGAGTGCTTCCTATCACTGCGATCACGGAGCGCACAAGCGTGTGCCTAGGTCGTGGGCAGGACGCGCGCTGATGCGAGTTCATCACCAGCTGTGTACGGCAGCCCGAGACATACTTTGACACAACCTAATCACGGGGGAGGTTCCCCGGCACGGTGGGGATCGTCAGGCATGCTCATTGTGCAACTCTCCTCTGCATCTGACCTTCGTCTCTCGTTCATCCTCCTACCTTTCTGCGGGCTCGCAGCCACCGCAGCTCTGTTCGTTACGGGATGCTTGGACGTCTGTCTGGCCTGGTGCGCCGAACGTGTCTCATCCTCTTGGCGGTCAGCGCAGTCGGCCGCTCACTGTCGGTGAACCGCACAATCGACGACGAGAAGGGCGATTCTGTCACCGGCGAAGTCCCCGTTTACACCCCCGACGGCTCTTGGAGCCAGGGCTCGACTTGCAGCGGCTGCTTCATCCAACTCGACCCCTCCCAGACGTTCGACGGGACATGGCACGACTCCACGCACACACCCGGCGACGCGGAACCGCGGGTCATCACCGCTCACTTCACGGGCACGGCCGTGTACGTGTTCAATGCGATCGCGAACACGGTCCCGTTCACGACCACGCTCACGAACCTCACCTTCACGCTCGATGGTGACCCGGTCGGTCAGTTCGTGCATACTCCGTCGGACAGTACCGACTTCCAGTACAACGTCCTGGTGTTCGCGCGAACCGGCCTATCGAACATCACTCACACGATCGTGATCGAGGCGACTGGAGACACAAACTCTTCTCTGGTCCTTTTCGATTACATCGTGTACACCTTCGAAGAAGACGTGAGCGACCCCACTATCACTGTGACTGCCAGTGCACCCACGCACTCGTCATCTGCTCCTATTCCCCCTCCCATTACTCCGCCGACAGTCTCATCCTCTACGCCTACTATCTCGGCCTCTGCAAATGCTGGCACTTCGAGTGGTCCAACCTCGGGCTCAACCTCGGGCTCAACTGTCTTGTCGTCGACGCCCTCTAGCTCGAGTGCACAAACGTCCGCGTCCTCCGACCCGGGTTCCGCAATTGACGCTTCGTCGCAGAAGGGGTCCACCGTATCGACCGGTGCCGTCGTTGGGGGCGTAGTCGGAGGGGTGATCGTGCTCGTAGTTGGGGGTGTGTTGGCGTTTTGCTTCTTCCGTAAGCACCGCCAGGCTGGCTTGCCTTACACTCGCGCTCAGCGCGATCTCGACCTGGCGGAGACCAGTGCTATCGAACGGAGCGCGACATTGGGAGGGCCTACTCTCTACGGAGCCACTGCCCAGAGCGGATCCACTGCCCAAGGCGGGTTCGTCTCCCCATTCGTGGACCCCACTCCCTCGCCGGCGTCATCTCCGTTCGTGGATCCTGCCCGACCGTCGCTCTCGGACTCCTTTGCTCCTCATCCACCACCTTCACATTGGGCAGCGTTCTCTGCTCCAGGTTCATCCACAGGCACGTCTAACTACCCTATCACCAGCCCAACATCCGGTCAGAGCGGTTCGACCACATCTTTCTCCAACCCGACGTCCGCTTACAGCAGCTCGCCCACGCCTTTCTCTACCTCGACCGCTACTCCTAGTGGCTCGCTTGCAGGCATACTGGTGTCTGAAGGATCTGTACCCTCGAACGTTCGTGGCGCGCGTCCGCTGCCTCAGCCATCGACGTCGGATTCAGGGTCCTCTAGTGGCTATTCCCCTACAACGCACTCCGCGGCATCGCTATCTCAGGCCGGCCTATTAGCGACGTCAGCGCAGCGCTCAGACCCGCGTTCTGCACGTCCTGGCATCTTGACACGACGATCCCTGCGTCTTGCTGGACAGCCGATCCCGGTCGACGTAAAACCGCCACTCCCCGATAGTGCAGCGGAACCTTCATCCCCCACACGAACAGAACTGGATGCGGTGTCAGAGGTGACCGGGACGTCAACACTACGAGCGCAGGTTGCGGCGCTGCAGGAGGAGGTCGAGAGGCTTCGAGGGCAGCAGGAATGGCAGCATCTATTTGAAGAGGCGCCTCCACAATATCACGAGGCATAACGCCGGGATGGGAGTCGTGGCGCGAACTACGCTTGCTCGACCTCGACCGCTCCTTCATGACGACCTTCATCGTGAGTAATGACTGTCGCGTACAAATGCCATGCAGCTAATCATACATGATTCGTAGCTCAGCGGACACAGTGCCACATTAGAGCAGATCACCGTTTCTCGCAAGAGGTGCTTAGATTCTGCAAGGTCATCCACAGGCATCACACGAGTACCTATTCTGTATCTACGGGTATAGACGAACAGATTGATGTGGACTAGTTTGCGGGCGTCGAAGCCTTTCATATACTTAGTCGCTAACGACGCTGTGTCGCTGGGCGCTGTCGGGCGCTTAGCATGTGCAACTTCTTTCTTTACTACTACCATCATCGGTGACCCACTATATACCACAACCTCTCCTTTCAGGCATGCTCGGGCAGGTTACATGTATATTACTAACATATGACATGGTATAACTATCACAAAGACGTCGATGCAAGAGCGGCCCGCCCGAAGGTATGTCGCTTCAATGGCTGTCTTTGTACAAAGCCCTTGTGGCAGATTCGAATATGGTTCAATGACATGGTTTGGTACGTGCTGCTAGTGCTAGAACTCATTTTGCATGCCCTCACGAACGTTCTTCAGCTCAGTCAAACCCTATCTGCGCGGCGGCCATCTCGATGATGTCGTGTGAGGTAACACTACCGCCCAAGTCATCGAACAGGATGATTGCGTTCGGCACATCTCGGCGATGCTTCCACAGCTCTTCTGGCATCTGTGAACTGCCAATACCACGTTGCTATGCATGGACCTGTGGAGACCCGAGCATACTGAGCCTAAACTCGTTGAGTCTATCCTGCTTCATCTCGACTCCCCACCATTCACCCAAATATGCGCAAAGTACCAATCCTCCACCGACATGTCTCTCCTCTCTTGGCTCTACTGTTCCTCGTATCATTACCTATGGCAGCTGCTCGTCTGGTCAACCGGACCATAGACGACGAGTATGGTGATAGCGTCACGGGCGTGAAACCCGTATACGGGCCTAGCTCCGACCCAACTGGCAACTGGATACAAGGCCTGACCTGCGTACATTGTACAATGCTCCCCGAGAAGGTCATCGACATCTCACAGACCTTCAACGGAACCTGGCACGACTCTACGTACCACCCCGGAAACCCCGACCACACCATCAACGCCCCCTTTTCGGGCACGGCGGTCTACGTGTACTTCATCGTTCCCAACTTCGTCCAGTACACGACGACCCTCGTGAACCTCAGCTTCACGATCGACAACGTCTTTCACAACCAGTACCAGCACATCCCCGACAATAGTACCACCACCATCTCTTACAACACCCTCGTTTTCCATACGACAAACTTAGTCAACACCGATCACAACATCGAAGTACGCGCCAGCGGGTCCAACGCGTCCATCCTCCTATTCGACAACATGCTCTATACTGTCGACGAAGCCGATGCGGTTTCTTCGTCGCCTCCTGGGTCCACGCCCACGACCTCGCTACCTCCTTCAAGCGTTCCCTCAACGGGCGGCTCTAGCCCAGCGCCAGACTCCCGTTCGTCTCCGCCCATCGGTGCGATCGCAGGCGGCGTGGCAGGCGGCGTGACCGTGTTCTCCGCGGTGCTAGTATGGTACTGCTGTCGTCGCAAACGGCGCCGTGGCGTTTTCATACCACGACGGCTCACAAACTGGGCGAGGGCATCCCCAACAACCCTCCCCACGTCCATGGCAGATGCGTATGACCCTCCGAGGGCGCGCCCGCATATGGTGAGTATCTGCGCTATAAACAGTGGTGTACATATATTCACATAGCCTCGCACAGCCAACATTGCTCGATGACAGTCGCGGTCGTGCGCGGCAGTCTATGACACTCTCGAACTCCGACACACTTCTTCCCGATCCCCCACAATACTTCATCGCTGATAGCAAGCGGATCGATTCGGTCAAGTCCGAACCTGCAGAGGTCAGCCCCCGGGACTCCCTTCCAAGCTCGAGCACATACACGGGCTCTTCGCGCACGGGAGGCACGAGCGAGCTCCGGGCTCAGGTTACGCTCCTTCAAGAGGAACTAGAACGTCTGCGCCTCGAGCGGGAGATGGATGCAATGTTCCTAGTGCCTCCGCCGCGTTACGAGGAATGAAGAGGAGCTATGGGGCGGTGGCTTTTTGCGAGGATATTTTGAAGACGGTGGATTTGTCATGACATGTAGTGAGTACCCTTGTATTCCGAACAAAATGAAACCTCATCGTTTTGCTGTCAACTCCAGGCAATAGTATATCAGCCGAGTATATGACATGCATCAAATATCGAAGATCGACGCCATAGCATCGCTTGTGGTGCTCAAACTGTGCAAGGCCCTGTACGCATATTATCTTTTCCAAGCATCGCGGAGAAGTGAGTGGGGTTATATCAGTGGCCGAAGTTGCGAGTTTCAGGCAGCCCGAAGATTTGAAGCTGATTGTACCTCATCATGACATCGCGAGCTCTGCGTATTTGGGATCTTGATCTCGAAGCATACCGCGCATGGTGCAGACACAATAATCTCACACTCTAAATTTTCCTCTCAGAATTTGTCACGCCTACTACCATGGCTGGCATTCATCGACCGTCTTAGACAACCTCACGAGAATATGTTCAACCAGGTAAGCCCTACCAATGCGGAGGTCCTCTGAAAAATGAGTTTACAAACGCCACTGCTGCTGATATCATAGGGTATGATCGCGTTCAGTGCATCTTGGGCGGCTCGGTGTATCCATTTGCAACATCGACTGCGAACTGTCAAGCAGTGTGGATGCCATACCACACCAGCGCCGCAACGTGAGCCAAGATATTTACTTAATCTCCACCGGCGCGAGTCTACTCTCTTCGTCTCGGCTACCCCACTTTCACCTCAGTATGCGCAGGGTACACATCACCACTTACCAGCATACCTTAATAGCAGACGCGGGTGAGCGGGAGCTCAGTCGGGCGATAGAACGACTGAATTAGACTCTGTACCTAATAGCAGACGCGGGTGAGCGGGAGCTGTAAGTACAGAGTGAGTGGGCTGTATGAGTATCGTAGCATAGAGCATGAACATACCTCAGTCGGGCGATAGAACGACTGAGGAAAGAGAGACGTAGCACGGCCGTACGTAGGAGGTGGTGCGGAGTTTGAAGTGATAAGTAAGTAATGTAAGTACTCGAATGAAAGTCCGATAGGCACATATACGACAGGTGCTATGCGTACTAAGTAGACTCAACGTCACCGTATTTCAACACTCCCCCTCAACGAATACGGTCTGATGAGGGGCGAAGCCCGAGGCGCAGTGCGAGTTGTTGAACTTCTGTGTCTACGGCTGTGCCGGACCGGGAGTGGCAGTGATAGTGGCTGTGCGTCTACCATACGCCAGCATGGACTTTCCTACTTACCATATACGTACATTCTTTTGTTCTGTACTTACTTGGCATCCTGCCATCCCTCCACATGATTCTGGTACGTTCTACGATGTTCCGGACTATTCTAGACAGCGTCCGGATTACTCGCATTACTCAGCCATGGACTATCTGACCTTATGTCGATTATGCTCCCTTACTCAGCGTTACTCATCGCTCAGTCAGCGTCCTCTGGACGTCACATGCTCTCTTCTTATACGCTTACTCATCGTCCTCCCCAGTAGTATATAAGGAGGACTCTGCAGGCCTCTGCTCTTCAGTCGTTCTCTCACAGACTGAAGAGTAAGTCCCACACTACCTATGCTTCCTTACATGTTTACTTACTAGTACTTGTAGCCTCTCTTTGTGCGGCTTACAGGTACAGTACTATGCAATCATAGTCGTTCTCTCACAGACTGAAGACCTCTCTTTGTGCGGCTTACAGCCTTCCAGGTTCAGAGTTCATCAGGTTATGAGCCCTGCGCTCTAACCGGTTGCTATCTCTTGTCGACACCTTTGCGCGCGCCCCTCCTTCGTCGACCGCTGGTTTGTGCACCTCCCTCCTCCATCTTCCTAACCTCTTGACTGTGCCCGCCGACACTGCTACCAGGGGACATTTCTGCGCTCGTGACGCAGCCCTGAGTGCTTTACCTAGTACTACCTAGTCAGCTCGTACGTCGCTACACAGGCCTTTT